CATAAAGCATCTTAAAAGCCCACCGAGGTCACCAAGCAGGCGGAAGCGGACTAAAACAAGAAAACCGGCCGCTCTCGTGTGTGGCCTTTAGAAACGAATTTGAATTAGAGGGTGTTTTTCCGATTCTACAGCCGTGGTCCCCGGCGCCCCGTCAATTTCCGAATTATCTTTTTAAAAGCAATGTTGTCGATTCGCAATTCGGTTTCCAGCCGCCCTGCGCTTAATCCTGGCTGGGTTTCCAGAGGAAGAGCAGGGCGGGGGGGGAGGGGAGGCAGAGGGGTGTCGAGGGCTCCCGTTACGATAAAAGGCAAGGCAAGGGAGAGGCGACCGCGTCTTTCATCCCTAAGTGGAATTTGGAATCCGCTCAATCCTAGCGACCCCATCTCGGAGACTTGTTTCCTCGGGAGTAACTCTCCCTGGCATCCACACGAACGGGGCTGTTTCCCGTGCAGCCCGGAAGCCAGGTCCCTCTCTCTGCGCACACGGGGACAAGCGAATACAAATTAGTACCACAACGGCTGGTTGATTTGCAATTGTGGCCAACTGGCTAGTTGGCTTCTGGGACGAAGGGGGGGGGAGGCTTGCCCGCCTAAACTACATGGCTGGACTGGGTCCCACCGGGTGCTCTTGTAAGGCCCGGAGCCTCACAGCACCCGGAGTCCACAAACCCGCTTCGGCCTGGCCCAGCCTCTTTTCACGGCCCATCTGCGATCGAAGCCAACAATCCCGGCTATAAAATATAGAGACGCCGCTTCGATCGATTGAGGCTGGATCGCTCGCTCTGCCTCCGGCTCCTAAGACCGGCGAGCGCTGCCTAAAAGCCCCCCCTCTCCACCCCCAGCGCCCGGGAAGAAAACCCCCAGGTTCTACCGACGGGGGTCCCCGTTTTAGGACCCGCATCGTCGTTAAAAGAGCAGCCCGTTAATTTGAGGCAGGGGTGTTCGGGGAGAATAGATAGCGAGGAGGCCTCTCGTCCGGCGCTGTTTTGCGGCCTTCTTTCAAAATTTACTCGGAACCAAAGCCCGGGGATTGAAGTTCCTCTACCTGCGTTTGGGCGGTTTAACCAGACAGGAGCGAAATTCAGTGTTTCTTTTTGCGGGGGGGGGGGAAGGAGGAGGGTGGGATGTATAAGTCACACCCTGCCTTCGGTGTGCGCGTCTTAGCAAGCTAAGCTAATTCCGAAGTGAACCGGCAGAGAACTTTAATGTAATTACATTTTAATGCGCCGCAAAGTTACAGAGGAATAAGTTTCGTGGCTCGCTGGGCTTTGGGGATTACACAGATCTTTACACGCGCGGGCGCACCCACAGGCACGGAGGGATGCCGCTTTCTGCCTGTGTTGTATTTCGTAAAGGAATGTAACTGAAACAGGAAGGAGAGAGAAAAAGAGAGTAAGAGAGAAAAGAGAGAAAGAGAAACGGGAGAGAAAGAAAGAAAAAGCGAGAAAGAGGAAAACAAAGAAAGGAGACAGAGAAAGAAAGAGAAAAAAAGAGCAACGGAGAGAAAGAAAGAAAAAGAGAGAGAAAGAGGAAGACAGAGACAGAGAAAGAGGCAGAGAGAGTAAGAGAAAAAAGAGAGAAAGAGAAACGGAGAGAAAGAGAATTATATGCCGCCCTGAGTCCTTTGGGATATATTTGGTATATTTATATGCCGCCCTGAGTCCTTTAGGATTGGGCGGCATATAAATAAAATTAAATAAATAAATTAAATAAATAAAAAGGGAGAAAGAAAGGAGACAGAAAAAAGAGACAGACGGATACCCATGTTTTTTAAATAAATAAATGAATGAGAAGATAAAGCAAAAACTAAAAGTCTGTCTCTCCCCTCCGCTCTGCCAAGAGTACATAAACAAACCATTTGTCAACCGAAACTTTGTCCTCCGTCAGATTCTCCCTTTTCCCGTCGCTCTGCCTTGCAGCTACCAGCGCGAAGCTGCGGGCTGGAAAGTGAGAAGGGCCAGCCGTCTAGCTAGGTTTTCTCTCCCGTTTCCCGTGGAGAAGGGCGTCGCAAGAGTCCGGGGGTGAGGAAGAGCCGTTGCTTGTTTTTTTTTAGAAATAACCTAACGCAGAATTTCGACGGCCTCACTTCTCCCCCCAAAAAAGATCCGTGTGGATCCGAAGGGCGCGCGAGATTCAGAGGCGAGAAGGAAGTTACGTGGGGAGGCGGCGGCGGAGGATGGAACCGGGGTTGAGGTGGGGAAGAAGATTCTACCCCCCCCAAACCCCGATATTTACAGCGTCGCCCGAGTCTTTACAGTACCCCATTTTCAAAAGCGGGACTTGCTGGAACCTGACTCGGATGGAGAGGCCGTGTGAAGGGTCCGCTCCGTCCCGGGGGTTTCACCTTCCAGAGTTTTGTGGAAAGGAGGCTGAAAGTCCACTCTTAACTCCCCCCCAAGATTTACAACTCTCATTCTCTCCGCCCCTGCTTGGCGGAGGCTTGTGAGCTGTATAAATATTTCCCCTTAATCATAAATACAGATGAAGAGGAGAGGAGAGTCCGGATAGAAGTTTGAAGCTAGGTTGATTTCTATTCCCTCGGCAGAATTATCATTATAATTAAATAAAATTAACTGTTTAACTCCCTCGATTGACTTTGTAACTCCAGCCCTGCCCAGATCCCCATCAGATTTTGTGCTGATTCTTAGAAGCCTTTTATACACAAAATTGCAAAGAAATCTTGATTTGAGATTTGAATAGTGTATATCTTGATTTTTTTGCCAGGCTTAATGCTTGCATGGCGAAGTTTTGAGGGCAATTTGGGGGGGGGGTTGAGCAGGGCAGGGGAAAATCAGCAAGTAATGAAGACAAATCTTTTTTGTGTAAACCCATTGATGTCAATGGGCCCAGCCAGGACTCTGCTCTACCCAGCAAGTACATGTGAATGGAAGGTTTAAACACATGTACATACTTGCCCCCTTGCAAATCTGAATGAAACCAAAACTGAGATTGTATATAGCCTTTTCTAGCTTCCACATTCATTGATGTCAACAGGATTTACATCTCAGTAAACACATATCTGGTTGTACTGGTACCACCTCGCTTTTTAAATGCTTTTTCTGGGAGGGATATATCTTACCCCCCCCCTCCTCAAAACAAAACAATTCAGATTCAAAGCAATCTGAAAAAAAGACTTGTTAAATATTTTTGACCCAGGCGCCCTCAAGGTACATCAGCTGAACCTCAAAGACACCACAATGGAAAGAAAATACTTAGATTGAAATTGTAATGATCTTAAAAGCAACTTTCTTGGGAGGGAGAGGAAGGTTACAGGAAAGGGGGAAAGCCTTTGAACCATTTCAACAAATCTATTTATTTCTGTTTTGGTTTCAACAATGCTCAACACTAAATTTTGAACCTGTAAAAATATCAGACTCAATATTCCAACAATAATAATAATAATAACCTGCCACAGAACATCCTAGATTTAATAACTGTCAATAAGAAGGAAAAAAAAGTCTGGATAGTGGTTGTGATAAGAGAAGAAAAGAGAAGGGAAGGGAAGGGAAGGGAAGAGAAGAGAGATGGAGAGGAGAGAAGAAAATCACAAAATATAAAGATCTGCAAATATAAGTGGAAGAAGCAAAGATAGTCCCAATAGTGATAATCACCTTGGGTGCAATCTCAAAAACATCTGGAGTGACACTTGAACACCTTCCGCGTTGACAAAATCCCCACCAGTCAATTGCAAAAGGCAGCTTTACTCAGAAGAGCTTAAATCCTGAGACAAAATCTCTAACACCATCCAATATCCACATCTGGCAATCCCAGGTCCTTGGGAAGGATAGATGAACAAAAATGCCGAATCCAGTCTAAGTGCAACCAATCATAATCAATTGGCAATGGGGGGTGGGTAGAAATAGCAATGATTTTTTCCTTTTTAAGTGAACAAAACTCCCAGATTTTTTTCCCCTCTTCACAAACCTACTTGAGAAGTATGACAGTATTTAATTAACATATTTATTTAATCGTTTCTACCCATGGTAGAATCAGGGAGCATCCAGCGATGTCCAGCGATTGTACAGTCTTTTTTCAATCCTATTGTTCTGCGTTTTGCATGCATCTCCCTCCCCCTCAAATCAACAAAAAACGATTCCTTTCTCTTTATAATGGCACAGTAAAACAAGAAACAAAACAGAACATCGGAAATGTAAACATGATCTTCCTCTGATGGATTTTTGCTTTTTTCCCCACTTTTTTTGAAGTTGTAACTCTTCACAACTTGGAACCTGACTTTGAAATGAAAATGTGTTTAAAAAAAACCCAAAACCAGAAAGACAGCTGCGGTCTATATTTACAGACATATATACAATATCAATAAATTAAATTTTAATTTCGAGTATTCATAGGCCAGGTATTTACAAGTCATCCATTAATTACATAAATACTTTATCAATAGCATCCACTGTTTTTTCCCCCTTCTCCTTATTACGTTTATAAACCTTGTTATTGCATATACAGTAAAAGAAAGAAAAAAGTATTAAAAACAAACAAGGAAACTGGGGGAGGGGTCTTTTTAAAACAAGCCAGCAAAATTATAATGCTTCCCCCTTCTAACTACATTTTTTTAAATTGCTCCTATCAGAAAAAGAAACCAAAAAATGGAAATATGTATACATATATGTATATATGTGTGTGTATATATATATATATGTAGCTACAAACACACACATATATGTATGTAGCTATATAGATATATATACGCATGTGTGTGTGTATATATATCTATATATATACACACATATATACACACATATACATTTATGTGTGTGTATAATATACATACATATATATATATATACATGTACATATATACATGTATATACATACACATGTACATATTTAATGCTTTGGGGACCTTAAGCAAGCATTCGTGAAATGGGGGCTTTCCCCAAATAAAGAGATTTAAAAGGAACCATGCAAAAATAAACAAATAGCCACACCCCTCAAAAAAAGTATTAAAAGAATCAGCCTTTCTCCCCCCCCCTTTTTTTTGCTTGATTTTCGAAGGAACTGCTATGCAAAAAAAAAAAAAAAAAAAAAGCCGATTCTCCATGGGGTCCCCAAAAGAGGGGTCTGCATTTCTCTGTTTTGATCTTTAAGGGGAGGCAGGAACAAAAGAGAGAAAAAAAACGAAAGAAAAGAAAAAAAAATAGGAAGGAACGTGGGGTGGGGGAAAAGGGAGAGGACCAATAGAACTGACCCCCCCCCACCCACCCAGAATTCACACCTGCCTCCAGTGGACCAAACAGTGGTTAATAGCAGCTACCAGTAGCACAGGCTTCCCACGCACCCACACAGGTCAGCTCTCCGGGCCCTCCCACCCACCGCTTCCCTCCCCACCGGGACCCCAGCCCCACGTCCACTCCCCATGTTGGAGAGGCCTGGTGGGCCCATAAGGCGTGGGGGGGGGGAAACTGGAAGTGCCCAGCCCCCCCCCATACTGGAGGGGGAGGGAGAGGGCGCTCCCCCCTCGCCCCCCCCTAGGGCGACCCACTCCTGGCTCTGTCTTGCTTCGGCTCCAGTCCACTCACTAGGCGCTGGATGTTCTGCAGCTCGCTGGTGGCCTCCTTGTCCGACCCGGAGGAGGAGAGGGTGGAGGAGCGACTGTTCAGCTCGGACCCGGAGGAGGACTCCAGCGTTCCCAAGCCGGGGCTGGGCGCCAAAGCTCCGGCTTTGCCTTCCGCCCCGCCGCCCAGGCAAGGCGGCAGGGCGGTGGTGAGCAAGCTGCTGCCGCTGCTGTCCGGCAGAGGCACCGAGAGCGCGTAGGGGCTGTAGCGCAGGCGAGGGCGCACGGTGTTCAGGAAAGGCGGGGGCCGGTGCATCGGGCTGGAGGCCGCCGTGGAGGCAGCCGCTGCCGCCGCCGCCATGTAAGTGTAGGGGTAGGGGAAGAGGCCGCCGAAGGGAGACATAGCCAGGCTCTGCAAAAGAAGAAGGGCGAGACGGTCAGAGGAGCGGTGGAGCCTGGTTGGCGGCGGAGGGGGCAGAAATCTCCCAACCAGCCCCCTCCCCGCATGCACAATATAGCCTGGCCAGCAGAGGCAGTGGGGTCAACCGGCCGAGGACCTTCCCTTTTCCCCACAACCATTAAGCCGCCCTCTTGGGAAGCTGCTCTCTTGTACAAAGTCAGCCCTGGGGTGGTTAAAGCTGATGGAGTAAAGGGGTCAGTCGGCAGGGGCCAAACCGACGAATCCCAGTCCAGTAAACCACGGTTTGGTTCCACAAAATAAGCATCGGAGCAAAATGTCTTCGGTTAAGGATTCTGGGAGCACGAGATCCCTAGCATTCATGGTATACTCATGAATGCTCTTCCATGAGTACCAGGGATGGACAGAAGGAGATAGATAGATAGATAGATAGGTAGGTAGGTAGGTAGGTAGGTAGGTAGGTAGGTACAGACAGACATACTATACATACACATAGACACATACATGAGTGATTTATTATTATTAATAATAATATAGAAATTGATATTAATCTATTTGATACTTTATTTTAGTCTTTTAATTTTTATTCTGGTCTCAATAAAAGTTTGGAAGTTTGCTATAGTGCAGCTAAACCCAGACTCTCCCATTCTCCCTGGATGGGCTTCCTTTTCTGCAGGCCTGCCACACGTTCCATACATTTCCCCTCCCCCCCAGGTGCCTCTGGAAGGAGGGCAGCCCTCCTGCTGCTCCCAGACTACAGTTCCCATCAGCCTCCTCCTCCTCCTCCTCCTCCTCCTCCTCCTCGCTGATGAGGGAGAGGTCCCTATGGCAGAGCTTTCGGTATCCCAGCGATAAAGCTCTTTGCTACCTTAAGAAAAATCTGGCTTGCAGGTCTCTCTGCCCACAGGGGATGGGAGTTATTAGGGAGACAAAATGAAAGGCCCAGCCCTGCCTAAAAGGTGTCCTGGGATATGCCTGCGATGCTAAAGCGCCTAGTTTGCCAGGCGCTTTCGTCAGCCAAATCCCACTTCATTTTCTGGCTTAACGAGAGAGCAGCCACAGTTTGCTGGTTGATTGCAGGCCCAGCCGGAGAGATCAGCCGCCAAGTTTGACTGCCCTCTGATCCCGCATTCAATCATTCCTCTCTGTCTCAAGCTGCTGAGCTCACTCGCTGGCAGAAAGTCCTAGCTGGCTTGGCCAACAGTCCATAGCTGTAGCCAGGGGGGGGGGGGAGAAACAATTGCACCCAGCCCAGAAGACTGCAACCAAGCATAGGTGCGGGGAAACATACAGGCAGGAGTGGGCCTTTCCTGGCCATGTTCTTCCTCCTGCCGCTAGGCCTTTGACCCAGTTCTGGAAAAATCCCTACTTAAGTTTCAGATCCTGAAGAACAGGAGGCCAAGCTGTGGAAGATAGGGAAATGGAGGATCATCCAGAAAGGCTGATGTTGTTTCCTAGCCCTAAGAGATGGGAAGGCACACAAGCTGATACTTGATTACGGGGCCCTTAATCCGACTTGTAAACCAACCCGAAGCCTCAAATAAACCCCCACCCCGCTGTTGGGGACGGGCCAAGGATGAGCTGCAGAAAAAGGGAAGCAAATTTAAACAGGAGTCAAGCTGGGCCAAGGCTGCCTCCTTCCTTAAGTAAACTAAATATTTTTTACAGATATATATATATATATTTTAATCCCACGTTTATTATGTTCATAAGGAACTCGGGGTGGAGAACATATCTAATGCTACCAAGCATCTAATGCTTGCTATTTGCTCCACAGCCCTGCCACCAGCCTGGGAAACAAGTTGGACGGATGCGGAGAGGAGTGGGTGAGTGCGTGGGATTGTTTAGTTTAGGAGGTAAATCCGGCTGGAGAATTTATTTTTTAATTCCCAATTGAAGCTCCCTCCACTCTTTCTCCTTCCTCCCTCCCTCAACAAAAGGCGAACCTCTGCTTTCCTGAACTGGAAGAGGGGGCAAGTATTTTTAAGAACTCCACACAGAAGTGGGGCAACACATTTACTTACCCCCTCCCCTTGCATACATCACCCTTAAAATTGTGGGCTTTGATTCTGGAGATTGGCCTCACTTTCCCCGGGAAGACTTGTACTAACTAGGTGGCTTTTTTTTTTTCAAATTGGCTTTTATTTTTATTTTTCAACTGCACTGGCCTTTTTCTGCCTAAGCAAGCAACAATGGACTGTGCTCTCAATTCCTTTTTTTTTTAACCTCTGGCAGACACCCTCTCTAGTGTTGACATGTAGGGCCTGGTCCACCCATCCCACAAAAGCATGGTTGGTTTCCTTCACCAAAGTTTAGGACTCAAACCACGAAGGGCCGGGTTCACACATCAGTCCAAGCCGGAAGCCCCAGTTGTGTAACCACAATCCCTGGCCAGGAGAACAGCCAACCCACAGGGCTTCCCACACAAACTAGAGGTTGTTACAAATGAAGCTACTGTGGTCCCTCTGAGGTTGGAGGGGCAAAGCAAAGAATACAAGGAATCCATGGACGCTGGGGGTGTCAGGGCAAAGTTGTGATTTGCTGGAGGCCCAAATAGCCATTGCACACCTGCTTTACGGAGGGGAGAAATCACACACACACACACACACACACACACACACACACACACACACACACACACATAAACACACAGACCAGTAACTTACCTGGGAAGCCAGGACGTGCTGTTGAAAATGGAAGGGCAAGGCTGCTGCAGCAGCTGCTGCTGAAACACCACTTAATCCCTGGGTAGCAGCTGCTGTGGCCATCGCCGTGTTGTCTAGTCCGGTAACTCCGGCAGACGCCCCGGAGACTGTGGCCAACAGAGGTCCCATGCCAGCCATGCCTGAGAAAGCCCCACCCATGGTGAACTGGCTAGGATGGAGGAGGAAGGGATGCCCGTTGCTCAGGGGGTTGAAGAACTGCTGGCTGGCCAAGGTGTGGGGAAAGGTGAGGTTGGACAGGTGGCTCTGGGCCAGGTGCCCAGGGCCGTCAGTCTGAATGGTTAGGGGCGTGAAGGGTTCTTTGTTCAGGATCCTGCATTCCTCCTGGGGTGGGTTCTTGAGTTCTTCTCCACCACAGCCCAAATGCCGGGTGCTGGAAGAGATGGTGGCTGGACTATGCTGGGAATCCGGAGGCACTTTAGCCACGCTCTCCCGGCTGCTGCTACTGCTGCTGGCGGAGTCCGGCAGAAAAGGGGGAGCCTTGGAAGGGCTGCTCTTCCCCCCTTCGCGAGGAGGCTCTGCCCCATCTCCTGCTCCCAAGGAGGAACTGCTGTTGGGGGCGATGTTGGCTGTGGTGGTAGAGATCTTCCCGACTTCATTGGCTTCCATGGGATCCTCTTTGCTTTCTGAGTCGCTTTCCCCATCGCTGGGACACAGGTCTGAGGAGAAGAGAAAGAGAGATGGTGGGAAAGAGGGGAAAGACCCCCTCTCAGTTGCCCACCACAAGATGTTCCTCAGAAGAGATGGCCTCCTTCCCTTGTCCCCCCAACCGCTGAGAACGAAACTCCCTAACTCAGTTGAGTAGGTCAGATGGAGTCCCCCGGGCTTACAATTCAGTTTTCTCCTTGACTTGGAACTCATCCAGGTTTTTTTCAACTTCAGCTCAGGATTCTGATCTAATTTTTTTTTTTTTTATTGAAGTTTGATCTACTTGGGCCTTGGCAGTACAACTGCCTAATCCAGAAGGGAAGCCAGAGAAAGAGATTCCAGCCCACTATTTTACTAGGCGGTGATATTTTCTTAAAACAAACAAACAGACAAAGAATCCTGGCTGAGGGGTAACCCAAAGAGGAAGAAAAGTGGGCTAAACAAATCATAAATAGTCTTGACTCCTTCAAAATTCAGGGTTTCCTGAATCAAAGCTGATCCTGACCTGTTAGCTCATTTAGTTCTGGCTTATGGAATTAACTGTCTTCTTATTTTATTTTATTTTTATAATAAACCATCCTCTGAAGTACGGGGGTGAAGCTGAAGGAGAGAGAGAGAATAGCATGAATTCTCCAATTTTTAGTTTCCGCAGCAAGAATCATGAACTTGGAATTTGGGGACAGTGTCTGCTGCAGACACACACACACACACACACCCACACACACACACACACACTCAGACAGACAGAGCCAAAGTTCAAACTTTTTTTTTGTTTTAAAAAAAAACACAACTGTGTCAAATATAAAAAAATGCATTCCTTCCTAGCAAAATCAAAGTCACTTAAGACAGTCAGGGCACAGATCTCTGGGAGACCTGCTTTCGAGTTCAGATAGTCCTCCACTTACGACCCAAAATATATGTCGTTAAGCAAGACAGTCATTAAGCGGGTTTTGTCCCGTTTTACGACCTTTCTTGCCTGCTGTTGTTAAATTAGTAATTCTTAGGGGAATCCAGCTGGCTCCCCCCCCTCCCATTGACTTTGCTTGTCAGAAAGTCACCAAAGGGGATCACCGTCATAACTGTGAGTCAGTTGCCAATGTCTGAATTTTCCAAGGGTTGTAAGTGTGAACAATGGGCGCAAGTTCCTTTTTTTCCAATGCTGTTCTAACTTAGAACAGTCAGTTAGAACCTTGTAAGCTGAGGATTACCTGGAGACATAAATCTAGGAAACTGGCCACCTTTTAGCTCCCATTCCAAACCAAATATCCCCCATAGATTTGGACTTCCTTGCCCTTCACCTCTGCAGTCAGGTGGGATTTAGAAGGGGGGGGGGAAGGATGTTCGGAGTGATTTTAACCCTTAACTGGGCATTTTGGGAATTCCTAATTCATGGGGAAAACACACAGTTTATGTTTCTGGTCCTCTGTTCCAGCCAGTTTGTCTGCACTGAAACCATAAATAAAATATAAAAGAGGGAGACAAAAGTTAAATTTTAAAGTTGAGACTCAGTTTTCAAAATCAGAGGGTTTTTTTTTTTTAATCCTCTGCAGTCAGGAGTTGATTTGCAACCTATTTTTTTTTTTATGAGCCAGATAGTATGGAAACAACTATTCATAAATAGAAGGTTAGGACAGCTCACTCTTACCCCAGTGGGAAAATAGAGTGGAAAGCAGCTCACCTTTAAGATTAGAGGTACCCACAGCAGACACAGCGGGAGAGGTTGACTGAGCAAAACATTTAAAAGCCATCTGCTCGCTGGAAGATTCATCCGAAGTCTCTTTTTTCTGCCTCTCATCATAAACTCTCATGGACTGAAGAGTCAGTTGCTTTCTAGGGCGAGAAAGAAAAGGAGATTAAAACCCCCTGCTGAGTTTTGGTGGGATGGGGTTCCTCAACCATGCAGAGCACCCTTGGTTTAGCCAGGTTAAAAACAAAAATTAAATCTTGATTATGGTCCCGAGACCAGCATATTTAGCCAGGCGAGGTCCAACCTGCCATAAGTGAACAGTTTCAGGCATAACGCAGCTAACCTCATAAAGTGTGGCTTGTTTGAACCACAGCATCTGGAATCGCCAGCTGCACAAGCCAAAAGCAACCAATTCCATTAAAGGTTAAGATGTGGATCCCGACCAACCTTGTGTTTGAGACTTCCATTTTTCTCAGTAAATTCCAGTCTTAAGTCAGCTGAACTGTTTCGAGAAATCTTCAAATCAGCCAAACATGTATTTTCAAATGGGCTAAGGATAAGGTTGTCTAGGGGTCTTAAGGATACTTATGAGTAAACAACCTTTTTCTCAGGGGTGACACCATGACAGTAGGATTAGACTCTCAAAGCAAGGTTGGACAATCAGACTTGTAAAATATTTGGGGTTATCCTGGTTTCAGCTGATGGAAATTGGAGACTAAATTATCCAGACACCTATTTTTGTCTTAAATTGTTGAAGAGCATCGGGCCAAATCTTTTCAGCACTCGGTATGACTTTGCTTGCATGAGACCTTCATCCATGCTGAACTGAACCATTCTTTATCTCATTAGCTTTTCTAAAAAGAAAAGAAGAATTTGCAAAACATCCTAAGCCTTGTAAACTGACTATGCAGACTGAGTTTGGACAGTGTCCCAGACTCAAATGTGGTTGGCCAGTTTGATGTGTCCATGTATTTAAAAAGCTGATTGTTGTTGAACTTAAAACTAGCCAAGTACAACGAATCCACAATTTAAGCATTGGGGAAAGCATCAGGAATTTGCAGCGTCTGATTAGCCATTTTGTGTAAACATCGCCTGTAAGGTTTCAAATAGTGTCAAATCCACCCAGGATGGTGGATTTAATCAATCAAAACATATGGAAATGAAGCAATTGATGATCCAAATGTATTTGTTTCAGTGGAGGGTGATGCAAATTTTAAAAGAGGCAGGGAAGGAGCAAAATTCCTAAATATTTGACTGTTTCAAATATCCAGGAGATTCTCCAATATCTGCTCTCTTAATCACTTCCAGAAAAATAACTCTTCTTTAACACCTTGAATTTAGATGTTGGTTCTCTTATGGTCAGCAAAAAAACTTGTGTCTTCTTTCTCCTCTTATTCACAACCTCCTTGTCAATATTTCAACCATCCCTACCCCTTCTTGGGACCCAATCTGTAAGGCAGATTGCAACGAAAGTGTAGGATTAAAATAAATAAATAAGTAACATTTGAAAAGGAGGGAGCAGGGAAGACCTTAGAAAGGCCAGCCTTAAGGGCTCTTCCACTAAAAAACACAAAAGATGTAACTCTTGCTTTAGAAGCAATCAAGCAAACAAACAAAGATTAGAATATTTTCCTAGGAATATATATTCCTACTAATAATGGATAGAAGCTGCCATCAAAATCTGTTGAAAATAAGTTAGGCTATCTATTGTGGCCGATTCTCCACCCTTTTTCTGCTGCTGTCTTTGTCATGTCACCAACAGGGACCATGGGTAGTCAACTATACTTTTACCCTTGGCAAAGAGTTTCTCCTTTGAGTAGCACCACAAAGTTTGCGCATTGGCAAACTTAAAAGCTTTTTTTTTTCTTCTTTTAAACTTTACAATCCTGTTTGCGGCCCCCATGTTCACATGGATTATTTTGAGGTAGGAACCAAAAAGAAGGAAGATTTCTGTTTTTATTTTATTGGGGGGCAGGTTTCCCCCCCCAAGGATTCTCCCCCCCCAAAATAAATAAATGAAAATTGAAACATATTCTTACCTTTTTTCTCGCCTTCCATTCCCTGTGTCTCGGAAGCCTTTGGCGAAAGGATTGTTGTCGATTTTTAACTGGGTGATCTGTTAAAAGAAGGGCAAAGAAAGGAACTGTCACACCGGTCCCTGACTTGGGTTCTTAGGAAAGAAAAGACCCTCCACTCCATTTATGTGAAAGGTATATTTTTTACTAAAGACCAAGCGGTTACACTTACTGTACAGCAAAGCCAGAACTAAAATTTACACCTGAAAGATTCCTAGTTAATTTTCCCTTTCTTGTTTCTCCCCCCCTCTTATCTCTTTATTGTCCAGTTATGTTCAAAGGAGTTTACATTCAAAGGATTTGCTCTGCTAATGGTCCCTGTGATTGCTGGTGAGCCGTTTTACTTCTGCCCTGCTGTAAAACAGTAGTAAGAGTCTAGAAGGGAACACTGCAAATACAATGATGTTTGGAACAACAGCAGTAATTTAATGCCTTAGCAAGAGAGACCAGGACTTAAACCTTGGGTGCTGACATGAGGTGAGTTTTAAGAGTACAGTATGTTTCTGAGCTCTGCCACGCAAAGGGTAACAGGAAAGAGGGAGGGGGAATCCATAGAGGACTGGGGAGGGGGGGGAAACCTGATTTATTTAAACCAAACATTGCCCGCCTCTCCTTTAAAAAAAATCAGGATCCCAATTAAAGAAAAAAAAAATTTCCGTCCAGTTGTCTGCAGAAAGAGAAAGGAGAGACTGCAAGATCTCACAAGCAGACTGGCATTATTATTATTTTTTTTAATTGCTTGATAGTTCCTGCTGCAAATTTGTGGACTATTCAGGGCGAGGATTAGGGGGTCCCCAAGGGGGATGAAGTTCCTGTGGTCATTTCCTTATTCTGTTGCTCAGTCTTTGCTAATTAGCAACTGCTTGGGCTTTGCTAACTCCCCCCCCACTCCTTGAATGTGTATGTGTGCACGCGCACACTGACACACAAACACAGACAAGTGCACTGTTAGTCTTCCCTTGGAATGAGTGGAACACACAGCCCATTAGTCAGGTTTCACTCTCCAGACTTTACCTGCCTTAATTCACTTGCAAAAGACTGGCTTCCTCTCCTGGCTAAAGTAAAATATTTCTACGTAAGGGGGTTTGAATCTAGATTTTTTTAACTGGTGTGCGTGTCTCTCTCTCTCTGTGCTTAAGAATATCTGCTAGGCAAAACGATCTTATGGGCCCTTCCGTCTTCTGTGCAAGCATTGCAGGTCCTTCTCCAGCTTTCCCAACCTTCTACTCCTTGCTTCGATAGGAAGATTTCGTTTCAGAGCTGGCTGGGAATGGGTCGAGCCAGGGAAAATTTGATGAATAAGTTTGGTGAAGTGAAGCAACTCATGGTTTGCTGAAATCAGAAGGAGGGTGGGGAGAATGGTGAGGAGGACGCCTGGCTGATAGGATGATAAGAATAGGGAGGAGGAGGAGGAGGAGAAAATGAGAAGGAGGAGATGGAAAAGGAGAATGGACAGGAAGAGGAGGAGAAAATATTTTTCATAATGAAGGAGGAGGAGAAGGGGAAGAGAGAAGAGGAAGGAGAAAGAGAAGGAGAAGGAAAAGGAGAAAGAGAAGGAAAAAAGGAGAAGGGGGAAGGAGAAAGAGAAGGAGAAGAAGAAGAAGAAGAAGGAAAGATCACCACTGAGTGTCACTTCAGAGCAAAAAAACAAACTTTCTCGCTATAACCCATCACTTTCCAGTTTAGGTCACAATCCTAGAAGGGCTCCATTTGATGCAAGCCCAATGGGGCGTAATGGAGTTTAGATCTGGCTCAACTCTTATGGGAAATTCAGCCATCTTTTTTTTTCTTTGTGTGTACAAAGAACACCCAGGACTCTTGCAAACCCCTTTCTCCCCTGGTGGCCCTCCTAAAGCTTCTGGGCCCCAAATTTCTTTGCCATGGAGCAAAGCAAGTTGGAGCCCGGGTTTTAGGTTGTGATGGAGCTTGCGTTTCTACTCTGCTTTCAAGAAGCTCCTGTCCTGTCTTGAAGAGTGACAAGTTGACCAGGATGGACTTCTCAGCATCTGCTTCAATTCATAGATCTTTCAGACTTTTGGCTTTGCCAACGAGCAGGAGAATTGTCTCCTGGAGAGGGGAAAGATACAGCTGTGGACCTTTAGACAGGTGAAGTCCTGTTCAGTCCTGCTCTTCTGCAAAGGAGCTTGACAAGCAATCGTAGACCAAGGTGGGAAGACTAGCCAAGTCACCCACCCACCCATTAGCCCATATCCCATCTTTCCAAAGATTGTCCCTAAATATTGTCAAAGGGACTTGGTGAAGTCAGCGTCTTCCCTTACTCCTTTACTGCCCTGCTGGCCCCCAGGAAAATTACCCCCCCCCCATATATACACATAACCAAGTCACTAAGGAAAAGAAATTCAAAGAGAAGAACGGAAAGATTAATGGAAACCGAAAACTTTCTTTTGGGTCCACAGCCCACGTCCCGTCAAGGAAAGAGTCCAGGCCTCCACTTAGGCTGTCCCCAGTCCAAGGTAGGCACAGGACAGCAAATTCAATTAACACCCCTCCCCATAATAACACCCACTCCTCTTAATAAGCTTGACCAAAGGGCCCCAGCTTCCAGCAGGATATTTAATTTATAGTTTCTTTGAAGCGGTGGGGGGAAATGGAGGGGGGGAGAGGAACCCAAGCCCAGATTCTGAAACCTGAATTGGAAAGATCTCCCAATTCTTCCTGCTGAATCAAAGCCTTATCTGAGGTTCATGCCAAGGGGCGACATCCCCCCCCCAAACACCCCTCCCTTTTCAACCTTAATCCTCCTACCTTGTCGTTCTGATAGGCTGTTACAGCAATGAATTCCGTTTCCGGAAAGACATAAGTGCGAAATGTGCTGTAGGGGAGCTTCAGGATATCGTTGGCTCGGACAATGTGGAACCGAGGCTGGTACTTGTGCATAGAGTTTAAGATGGTCTAAGGGAGGAGAAAAAAAGAGAGAGAAAGAAAGGAAAAAAAGTTTGGAGAACAAGACTTAAAACCCGGAGGACTTGCAATTGCTCATGCTTTGCAATTGCATGATATTTCAAAAGGGACATCCAGCTTTTTCTAATCTAACACCCGTCCTGTGTAGATTGCCTGCCTTCAACTCTGCTGGAGCATATTTGATGCTTTTATGAAGAATTCTACTTCCAGTCAACTTGCCCTCGTCCTCCCTCCCTCCCCAACCACAATTTGTACAAATCCAGATCCAAGTGGCCTAAAATAAAATTTTGCCTAAAACAAGGGGAAGCTTCCTAACCATGGAGAGCCAGAGTGGAAATAGGGATGTCTCCATGCATGAATATATGTAATGTGATAGATAGATAGATAGATAGATAGATAGATAGATAGATAGATAGATAGGAAGGAGAGATAGGATAGCTGATGGATAGCTGATTAGATAGATATTCACTAACCCTGATTTGTTAATTGATTTTAAAGGGAAAACATTGCATGCTCCCTCATTTTGATATTGAAACTATTGCATTTGGAGGAAGGGTGATAGGAGTTGAGTGCTGCCTTTGAAAAAGAAAATCTAACTGTGAAATACATTCTTTCTATATCATTTTCAATAGGTTTTCAGGTTTTTTTCCTTTCCTTTCCTTTCTCTATTTCCTTTCCCTTTTCCTATTTCCTTTTTTTCCTTTTTCTTTTCCCCTTTCCTTTCCTTTCAGTTTTTTCCTTTCCTTTTTAGGATAGCTTCACTCTTGAGATTTGCGCCGTGATTTGATTTTTATTCAGCCGATTTGATTCTCACTGGCATTATCTTGATTTTTATTCAGCCAATTTGATTCTCACTGGCATTATCCTATCTCATAATCTTATTCTTCTCTCCCATTCCCGCACCAAACTTTCTTTCCTAAGAAAACCAAACACAATATTACTAACCGGTCATCCTAAGGCCAAAACATAGGGTTGACCCCCCCCTCCCCAACTTCTTTTTAAAACCTGGAGTTTATTACCAAAAAAAAAAAAAAAAAATCTAGAATGTACCAACTGACAATCTATTTCAAGCGTGAGAAAGATTTTCAACCGTTTCTAATAAAGTAGTAAAGGTTTGCCCCTTTTCTCTAGTAAGTCTGAATTTCCAGTCTCCCCATTTTGCAAAATAATAATAATAATAATAATAATAATAATAATAATAATAATAATAATAATAATAATACTTTGACAAAAGTTACTGGGAACACCAAATTGACAAAGTTCTCAAAAATGAACAGGTCAAGATCCTGTGAGACTTTCAGATCCCAACAAACAAGCATCTGGCCCATAACATGCCTGACATCACTATTGTGGCAAAAGAGAAAATATCTGGTTTATTGATATTGCAATACCAAGGGGTACCAAGAGAAACAGCTGGGAAAAATAACGAAATACCCTGAAATACCCCACGATCTGCAAATTGAAGTTGAGCAACTGTGGAGGAAGAAACCAAAGGTTCTACCAATAGTAAAGAGCCCTTGGAGCAATATCCAGAAGGCTGCCTAGATAAATGGAAATTTTGAACTTATTAGACCTGAATATTTGACTTTGCAAAAAGACTACCCTGCTGGGAACTGCGTGTATATACTCAGACACTCCCTTAACAACTGTTTTAGGTCTTAGAACTTGAACTGTTCAGTTTTTACCAGTTCCAGATTGTGAGTCAAATTGAATAATAATAATAATAATAATAATAATAATAATAATAATAATAATAATAATAATAATAATATATTTTTAGCCAAAAATAAAGGTGGGTAAAATACATTTAAGCTTGGGTGAGCTTTAGCACACCTACTGGGGGGGGGGAGGACTTTAGCACACCTACTTTACCACACTGCAATACAAAAAAGACATTGAGATTCTGGAAAGAGTGCAGAGAAGAGCAAGAAAGATGATTAGGGGGCTGGAGGCTAAAACATATGAAGAAGAAATAATAATAATAATAATAATAATAGTAATAATAATAATAATCTCCCTATCATTGGTCAGGACTCAATAAGTAGACGAAAATTCCAAATCCAGTCTGTGCAATGATCAATCAAAATAATAACAATCTGCACAAAAACTGGTGTTATGTCAAAGGGGCAGGATAAGGAGTTCACGGAAAAGTCACAAAGCGAATGAAATGCACTTACAAATCCGTGTTTGTCCGATATGTTATTAGTCAGTTTCAGTTTGTGGAACGTGACCACTTTCGACATCCACTGCTCGCCTGTTGCGGGGCTATCTGGATGGATGTACATTCGTTTTGGCATTTCGGGATCAGCTTTGCCAGCCACCATCCACCGCGAATTATGGAATTTATATCTACAGTCATCTGCTGCTACAATGTCCATCAATAAAATGTATTTCGCCTTTTTATCCAGACCCGTGCACCTCACTTTAAAAGGTGGGAACATTCTCCTAGAGACAAACAAGGTGAATATTATGTTATATACATTATTTTATTCTGTTTCGCTTCTTTCTTTCTTTCTTTCTTTCTTTCTTTCTTTCTTTCTTTCTTTCTTTCTTTCTTTCTTTCTTTCTTTCTTTCTTTCTTTCTTTCTTTCTTTCCCTTCCTTCCTTCCTTCCTTCCCTCCCTCCCTCCTAGAATCATTTGAAAATTCAGCAGTTAAAGTGTGCAAGTACACACGCGTTTCACTGGGAACCCTGTTCCTTAAAGGCTGAGCATTCGAGAGTTTGACTGCTTTTCGAGAGAGGAAAAAAAAATTGGATATTATTATTTATTATATCAATATTATCAATTTGTAATATGATACTATATCAACAACAACCAGGTGGAGAATTAATTGATCTCACAACTTGGCCTCGGTTTTGGTAATTTCCAAACTGCAATGCCCGCCCCCGCCCAAAAAAGTGCATTTTTTTGCTGGTTAGAGTTAACATAGGCCCCAAACCCCTTTTTAGAAATCTCTACATGAAATCTTGTTGAGTTGCTTTTGAGAAACAACATATCCTCCAAAACAGACACACACACACACACACACACAATTTACTGCAAATCCCTTTGCACTGTTTTTGGAGCCTTTTTCTTTTCACTAATTATTGTTTGATTTCAGACCATTTTGAACGGGTCTTAATAAATCCCAATAACCCACAGAACATCCCCAACTATTATTATATTTCAGTCCTTCGCACCATTAGAAGGAGATAATTCAAGGTGGCTGTTTTTTTCCTAATTCTTAAGGCACACATTAAACAGAAAGGACCCCCCCCTTCATGTAAAAGCAATGGCAGTTCAGAAAGTTTTAAAAGAGGACGGGCCAAGGATTACGGTGAGAAAAACAGGGATCCTTCTCTCCAACATTTGAATCTGTTCTTCCCATATTTTTTTCCCCCCAAATGTGCGAGAATTGAACAGTGAGGCCTAAATGAGCTGGAGCCTATTCTGGCTGATTTAAAAAAAAAAAAAAAACTCAGATTAAAAAAAGGAACAGTCATCCAGATCCTAGCTAACCTTATTGAAAAACAATCTCTATTTTTTTGTCCCCCTCTGCCCCCCCTTTCCTGACCCTTTTCTTTCTTTTTTTGGAAAATAGAGGAGTTGAATTTGGAAGCCAAGTTCCCGGGGAACTCAAAAAATATTTTATGACCGGAAAAGGGCTGTAGGCAATTTTTTTTCGGTCTGAGTTCATGAGTTCATCCTTGCTTTTTCTCTCTCCAGTTTTTTCTAGGAAGGAAACAAGCAAACTCCAGCTCTTGTTGGTGGCAGCCGAACCCGACGGGGGTTCTTCTAAAGGGATCCGGTTGTAAAGTTTAAAAGGAAAGAAAAGATCCCGAATGCAGCCAGCTTTCTCTCGTTCCACCAAGACGGCTGAAGGTGGGCAAGATTGCGGGGTACCTGGCTGAGGTTTTGGGGGTCGTTTTGGCGTGCATTTAGGCTTCGGACGAGGGCAGGGCTCACTGTGTCCTTCGGAAAGCGGCGAGGCCCTTTTTTCCCCCACCGTTTCCCCCCCCCCCCGACACACAAAACAGTCGGGAGTTCCCTTTAGAAAAACCAGCACTTAGAGAAGGCTGGCTTGGCAACCCCGCCGCCCGCTTACCTTCCCGATTTGGTGATCACCATCTCGGTCCCCCGCTTGTGAAACTGCTCCCAAAGCTCCTTGGCTTCCAGGTGGACTTTGGGGTCGTCCTCCACCTCTTCTTCCGGCTCCAGCGTTTTCAAAGGCCGCAAGTGAGCCGCGGCTTGGTGTCCCAAGGTGGGAAAAGGGAGGCCGGAATCCGCCGCCCCGACCAGTTGATCCATGATCGGCTTGGCTAAAGCTCCGGGCAGAGAAAGCGCAGCAGCCCCGTTGGGGGGCAAGGCCAAAGCCGGGAAGAAGTGAGGCTGGTGTCCCAAGACGGCGCTCATGGGGAAGTCCGGCGCCCGGTGAGATAGAAAGGGGTGATAAGCCATGCTGGTCCCAGGAACCACGGGTTCTCTCATGGGGAAACTCATGCAACACAGCCCGCCGCCGCCGCCGCGTCTTTTTCCTCCTCGTCTTCTTCTTCTTCTTCCTCTCTCTCGCCTGCGAGGGGGCTTCGCAACAGCCGCTCGGAGCCTGCCCCGACTCCCTCCTCCGCTGGGCAGAGGGGGCCGGCCCGGAGGAAGCGCCAGACGACCGAGGGCCAAAGAGGAGAGGACAGGGCTGGCCGGTCGTGAGAAGCGAGCATAAGCGAGTCAGCGAGGAATCCAGGCAGAGGGCGCCAGGCTAGAGGCCATGGCCCCTGCGAAGAAGGGGAAAGCGCGCCCCGGCGCTTCGTCGCCAGCTGCGTCTTGCTAGTCTTGGAAGAAGGAGCCTTCCTGCGCCTCTGCCCGGCTGTCTCCGTCTTCCTGCCCTGGGTCGGTCTGTCTATCTGGCTTGGCTAAAGAGAAAAGGGTCTAGATTGTCTCCTTCGGAGAGAGGGCAAAGGATCGGAGCCGCTCGCTTGCGCCGCCGACGCCGCCGCTCTTTCGGCGAAAGGGGAGCAGAGGGAAAGTTTAGCCGGGCGACGGTGGCAGAGTCCACGAACAGAGGGGAGAGCAGGAAGGAGGCGAAGGGATGGGGTGGACCGGCCGGAGAAGCTTCCCGGGGCCAGTCCCTGCTGCCGCAGAGGTCGCGCGAGGTCTGGGGCTGCTGGTTTCTCCCCCCCCTCCTCTTCTCCTCTCCTCCCCTTCCTTCCTTCCTCTCGCCGGGCTGGGCTCTCCTTCTCCTGCTTGTTAGTTCTTCTTCAATTCCTTGCCATTATTTTTCCAGCTGCCGGCGCGGAGACCCTGGAGCAGCAGCAACAGCGGCGGCATCCGTCGGCGGAGCTTCTCCTCGGCTGCCCGAGCGAGGCGGAGGAAGCAGAAGAGGCGGCGAGGAGGAAAAACTCCGGGACCCTCCAAAGGTGCCAGCCCAAAGTAAGGCAAGGCGCCTCCTTCTCCTCCTCCTCCTCCTCCTCCTCCTCCAGCCTCGCGCAGCGCTCTCTCGCCGCCTTCGCTTCTCCTCGTCTCCGGCGTTCTTCCTTCTCCTTCCAAGCCGGCTGGCTCACCTCTTCTTCTGGCCACCCCACCCCACCACCTCCGCGTCGCCTCCTAGCCTTGGCCTCCCCTGGTAACGCGCGCGCGTGTGTGTGCGTACGCGCGTGTGCGTGTGAGACAGAGCCACCTCTCCCCCTCTCCCCGAGGTTCCCCGGCGAGGAAAGAGCTCGGGAGGCAGGGCAAGCCTGCTAAGTCAATTTGACGGCTCTGCAAGCTGCGCAATCGAGGAAGCCGGAACGGGTTTTGCTAAGTCGGGCGCTTCCCTCCCCCGCCTCTTTCCTTTCCTCGGCTTCTGCAAAGCAGCCAGCCAGCCAGCCAGGCAGAGGAAGCGCCCGCCGTTGGCCTCCCCAAGTCCCGCGCCGGGAGGGAGGCGAGGAAGGGATGTGTGTGTGTGCGCGCGCGCGCGCGCTCGCGAGTCTAGATGGATGCGGGGTGGGAGGGAGGGAGGGAGAGTGCGTGCGCGCGCGCTCTGCCGGTGGTGAGTGAGGGCTTGCGTGTATGTGTGAGTGGGTGAGTGAGTGAGTGAGTGAGTGTGCGCCGGTGTGTGGCTGAGCGTGCGCGCGGGTGTGAGCCTCTCTCTCCCTCTAAGGCCGGCCGCTTGGCTGCGCCGGGGTTGTATGGTGGCCTTCGCGGGGCTGCCGAGCTTCGGCGGGCGCCTTGATTGGCCCTTTGACGCTTTCGGACCAATTGTCTGGCTCCAGAGGCGTGGTTCCGACGGGTCGTGTGGAGGGGGACGGGGCCCGAGTTATAAAAAGAAAGGTGTCGGAAACGGCGAAGCTGCAGTGCCAAAGCATCCCCGCTGGTCGGGGCCGGGCGGATCTGTCACCAGGACCGGAGGGGGGGGGGGGAAAGGAGGAGGCAGACAGGCAAGAGTGTGTTTTTTGGGTGGCGGAACCAGGAAGGGAGGGAGGGACGCCTCTAGGGGGCTTTGCAGAGACGGCATGGCTAGCAACTCAGCCAGCTCCAAGGAGCCAGGAAACGAAGGGGGAGGGGGAGGGAGGAGGAGGAGGAAGGGGGGGGGGGTTGAAGCGACGCCCCTCCCTTTCTCTTTCTTCGCCCTTCCCCTGGCCCAGATTTCAGCTCGGGACTCCCCAGGCGAGCCTTCTCCGCGCCTCTTTCTTTGGCTGGTGGGAGGAGGAGGAGGAGGGGAGAGTGAAGGCACGTGTGTTTCGGCGAGGTTTGTAAAAGGTGAAAGGGCGCGCGGGGGCGGGGCCAGCTGCTCCTGGCTTCCCCAGCACACGCGCGTGCCTGCCCAGAATTACCCCGTGGGCAGCGCTTCCCTTCGGCTCGGCTTCCACGCGCGTCTGTGCCTACGTCGCTCTCGCCTCCGACGAGGGCGGTCTATCGTCGGAGCGTCTGTGTTGGGTTTCAAGCAGCCCTGTTCCGTCTCTCTTTCCCCCACCCCACCCCCAGTTGCACAAACACACGCGCCGCTCTCTTCCCCCCCCCCCGATTCAGTGAGAACGCCGCCGCAGGAACGCCTGCACCCCGCGCGCGTTCCTCTCTTGAACCCTTCCTTGTGAGTATTTTTTGGGGGGGTAGGGATGGGATAAGGGCTTCCATATTCCTGCGAGTTGCATTCGCTCTTGGAAGCCAATGAGGGGCCTTCCGCCTTCCTGGCGCCCTGCCCTCCCGGACTACGACACCCATCCCTTCCAGCCAGCCCGGCGCAGCCCTTCAGGGGTGATGGGCGTTGTGATCCGAAGCAGCAGGAATTAGGACGGGTTGTTGTTCCGGGGAGAGGAGAAGTAGGCGTTCTGGAGAAGGGGGAGGATGGGAGTTGTAGTACAGATGGCCCGGGGGGCGTTCTGGAGAGAAGAGTGGAGAAGAGAAATTGCGCGTGGGAGGGGGGGGGTGGCGTGGGTGCTTAAACGCGTTAAAACCAATGCAATGTTTACAATTAGCGCACCGCGTTTGTTGCCTGCGCGCGTTAAGAGGTTCCGTAATAGCCACGGATTCGGGGTTCCGCAGTTGGCGAGCTCTTCCGACAAGCCCAAAGGGTCCTGGCGCGTTTTTAGGAAGGGGGGGGGGGAATCAGTCGGGCTTCTGCCTGGTTTTCGGCTCACCTCTCCCCGACCCCCACTTCCCTTGCGCTCACGCCAGTCTGGTTTCAGCCCTCCTAGCGCCTACCTAGCCCCCCCCCCGGTCCTCCCCCGCCGTTGGACCCCTTACAACGCGGGATCCCTGCCTGGTGAAACGCGTCTGAATGATTTTTGCTTTTCTCTACCAAGTTCGCTTCTCCCTCTCCCCCGCCTCCAGGCCTGGCGCCTCCTTCCTTTGCTCTGCCCGCGTTTTAACGCTCTTGAAACGCCAGTCTCCCAACCCCGGCCGCCCTCCCTGCTTTTCCACCGCTGGTTAGGGAGGATTTTGGAGATCCGAGTGTGAATTGCCCTCTCTGAAGGGCCGCTGGCTTGTAGTCATTTACGGAGGAGAAGGAGGAGGAGGAAGAAGGACGGCCTGTCTGGGGAAGGAAGGAAGCAAGCGGGAGGCGGGTTTGCGCGCGTGCGCGCGCGCCTGTGGCTTTCTGTCTCTCCGCCCCCCCCCCTTTTGCTTGGTATGCAGCGTGCCGGCGCAGAGCGGGTTACAGCTCTCTTCCAAATCCCCTCTGTTGTGGGCGCGGGGCTGCATGGCTGACCCTAGCTTTTGGGGATCTGGGTGTGTGGGGAGAGGGGCCGAGGAATCCACGGAAAGCACGAAGACGTAGCTTCTGTTCTCCGGAGTGCCCTGGTTTCCCGCGGGTGGGAAGGTCTCTGGGAGAACCGAAGCTGATGCGGGAAACCGTGAACGGGCCTCGCCTCCTTTGTCGCGTTGTCTGCGGGACCCCGCCAGCAAAGAAGATGCGCCGCGCAAACCTTTTCTGGGGGGCTGCGCCTCGCGTCAGCTGGACACGTTGGGATCCTGCGCTCCAGCGGCACCTTTTTTGGAGGGGGCGGGGGATGATGGCGGTGCACTTCTTTAGAATAAGGGAGCTACGCCCGCACACAAAGACACACTACTCAGAGAAGCAAACAAGGAAACACAAATGTATGGAGACATAGGTTTAAATGAGAGAGAGAGACACACACACACAGACTCTTCGCTCTCCGCGCCTAACCAGACCCCTAAAAGGCTTGCCGGCTTCAAAGGGCAGGCCAAGTTTGTTTCGTAATCTTGGTTAGGGGTGGAGGGGGGGGGAGAAATGTTGGTCTACATCTGAAGCCTGGGAATCGTGCCCACTGGGTTAGTGGGAAGGTTCCACAGACAGTTGCCCACAACACACACAGGCAAAAGCGTTAATTCAGCCACATCAAGATGCTGCCTTGAACCCAGCCCTGGTTTGATCTTTTACAGAGGTACGGAAAAGACGGTTGGTGCGTTTGGAGGTGAGGGGAGACGGTGTGTGTGTGTGTGTGTGTGTGTGTGTGTGTGTGTGTGTGTGTGTGTGTGCGCGTGCGTGTGTGTGTGTGTAGACAGAGATCGGAGAAAGGGATGGCAGAACCCCTTTCACAATTAGAGGCCGGCCTCCTAAAATAGGCGCAGATCTTCTAATTTCTTGCTAGGCGCAAGAAAGGGCCAGATTGACCTCGCTGCCTTTTGGGAAGTTCTCCAAATAGCGCCCGCGGGGAAACCAGACGCTCCGAGACGCAAACGCGTCCGGAGAAGTGCCGTTGTGAGGTTGTGGGTTGTAAGGAAGAGGGCGACTGCGGTAGGAAGCTTTTCACGCGGGGATGCGCTCCCATCGGCCCCATTTACAAGGCCAACCAAGCCGTACATTATTCTTGAGAATTGGCGACGAGGCTTGACTTAAGGGCAAACGAAAGGCTGGCGAGCCGGGCGGCGTTATCTCTCTCTCCCTCTCCCTGTCTCCTTCCCACCCCCGCCCTGCGCCACTCTTGAAAGAGATAAAAGGGATTGTGTGTTTGGAGACACTCGGCCCGTTTGTATAGTTAGAGGGAGAAGCGAGAGGCCGGCTTTGGCGGCGGCGGCGCAAATGTGGTCAAGATAGAAGCGGAACATCTAACGCGATTAGCCTTCCCAACGTTGCATTTTTCGAAGCGAGGGCTAAAAGCTCTTCGGCGCCAGGGGGCTGAAAGCCGTGCAGGGAAACAGCCTCGAGGATCATTTGCATCCCCCCCCCACCAAAAAACCCCTCTTCCCTCCCGGTCGCCTTGAAAGAAGCCGAGGGGGCAGACAAACACACACACACAATACTAAGGCTAGACTAGAGGTTAGCAAAGACTTGGCGTTACAGACCCAACAATCCAGAAAACTACAAGATTCGGGTACCCAGAATACATTTTGAAACTCCCCCCCCCGGCCGTCTCTCTCTCTCACTCATTCACTCACACACACACACTCATACACAATTAAGGCCAGACTAGATCTTACCAAAGCGTTACAGAGTCGGTGTCCCAACTATCCAGAAAACTACACCGAAAATATAATTTGAACCCCAGCATCTCTCTCTCTCTCTCTCTCTCTCTCTCTCTCTCTCTCTCTCTCTCCCTCTCCCTCTCCCTCCCTCTCTCTCTCTCTCACACATACACACAATATTAAGGCTAGACTAGATGTTACCATAGGCGTTACAAATCCGGTGTCCACATCCAGAAAACTACAAAACCCGGGATGCCGAGAATATATTTTGAACCCCAGTCTCTCTCTCTCTCTCTTTCTCCCTCTCTCCCCCATACAGTCCTTTTTTCCGCTGAATCCCACCCCGGTGTCAATCTGGATCTTTGTCTCCCTCGAAGTCACTGGGCCACGAAGGGAAGGAAGCGTGTAGTAGGGTATTCCTCAAATCTCTGATACGAGTATTGGGGTTCTAATTCAACCGGTTGATTTTACACCCTTGAAACCGGGGCTGAGGGTCGATGGCTAATTTATGTCGGGCCCTGGGGAAAAAAAAAAAATCTTTCCCAACCCTAAAAGCTTTTGTAAAGTTGACCCGGAAGGGAGCTGAGTTTCTAAGGATTGCGAAGTTCAGGAGATTTTCCAGGCTGCGGTGGAAAAGGATTTGTTTAGGGATT